AGCTTACCTCCCTCTATGAATGGCTGTCAGGAATCTGATGAGCACTCAGATCCCCGGATCTGCAGAAGGAAGAACTGCTTCTTCTACTCTTCCATGACATGATAGTTACTTCTAGAAACACAAAGCTCCAGCAGTGCCACCTTCTGGCCATTTGCAGCCCCAAGACTATTCTCGGTGTGGCCATAGTCATTACCTGTATGCTCAAATGTCCAAGTAACTCTTACAAGTCAGTTTCATAGTAATTACAGATTGTAACTATGAATGCATTCCTTCTGGAATCCTGAATACCGTGTGTGTGTGTGTGTGTGTGTGTGTGTGTGTGTGTGTGTGTGTACCAAACACTCCTTCATTAGACTAACTTGGAGGGCAGGGACCATCTCTTAAGCAATTTGGTACTCATATTAGCAGACACCGAAAGCATAAAACTTGTTTTTGTTTCTTAATGTATTTAAATAAATTAAACTCGTGTTAGGAAAAGACTCGTGTTAGGAAGAGAATGTTAAGGTTGTTTGTGCTAGTCTGCTTCTCACTGATACTGTTAACACAATTGGAAGCATGCCTGTGGATGCTGTCTGAGAATATCATAGCAGCCAGCTGAAAGCAGGAATTGATCAGAGTAACTGATTTTTTTTTTACCAGGGTAGCCTTGAGAATATAAACAAATAGTTTTGTAAATACTGAAATCTATTCCAGGGGTTTCATTTAGGACTAAGAAATAATTGAGCAGATAGACGTTTGTATGGAGCCTCTCTTACACATGAGTGACAACACCAAATTCTGCATGCTGAATAAGACTGGTGTGAAACAACACAAAATTGGTGATGTAAATGGAATGTGGCATGCCTGGGATGTGTGTCCAATGGCAGGACAGAAAGGGACTGGGAAGTGCTTTCTCCTATTACTTCTAGGTGGAATGGTGACCATCATATGACAGCTAAAATGACAGAAAATGGGCATGACCCATTTCTGGGGCACAGAAAGATTTGGAAGGGAGGAATTTTGTTTATGTTTAAGGGCTATAGCTGGACTCTGAGAGAAGCCATTTTATTCTTTCTTTGAAACCTTGAAAGGGCCAAGGTCCAGAAAAAGAGATTTCTAAGCATCCTCCCAAAGAAAGACACTGGCCCAATGAAACCCCAACATTCCTCTCTAGCTCTCTAATACCATGGTTAACTCTGTATGAGGTCTTCCTTCAAAAAAAAATGTTCTGTTTAATTAGCATTTGACTTTGATGAGGAAGCCTGTGTCTATCACCTGTTAGCCAAATAACCCTGGGCACATTTTACTTCAGCACCCCAAATCTGCTTCTCCACCTGTGTGAGTCCCTCCTCAGCTAAGTGCTTGGCACAACAGCCAGCACTCAAAGGATGACAGTTGTCACTACTTAGGAGTAAATGTGACCAAGGCAATGAAAATGAGCATAGAAGACAATGCATCACCCATGGTTTGCAGTCAGTGTTAATGAAAAAGCACAAATTACACAAAGGAAACTTTAGGGCAAAGCAGTCTTTCCCCCTCTGCAGAAGGTGCCTTAGCATTTAGGGAAGGAAAGCCATAGTTGTTTATAAAACTTTGAGTAAGTCACTGAAACCTGCCTTTGCCCTCCTCTTCAAATTGCAAACAGAAGTGGAATCTGGAAGCCTAGAGACTATCAGAATTTAGAGCCCACTACACATTTATGGGATAAGCACTGAATGAAACTCTAGTGATTAAATGAGAAATAGTATGAGTTAATTAAAAACTTGGAGTTCTGGACTACAAAGATGGCACACCAGTTAAGAGCGCTTACCTCATAGTCATGAGCACTCACATAAGCCCAACATCCCTGATAATGACTTCCAAGGGAAATGAAGACAAAACTTCTCTGGGATTGGTGACTTCCAACCTAGCCAAGAAAAGTTAAGTCCCAGGCTGAGGGAGAGTCCCTGCCTCAAAAGAGTAGGTAGAGAGTGATAAGGTAGGATACCCAGTGCCTTCTTCTGGCCTCCACACATGTGCAGAATATGCACACATGCACATACACTCACACAAACATGAACATAAATAAATGAAGACTTTTAGGAAACCAAAGAGCTGGAGAGACAGATGAGTGGTTAAGAGCATTCATTGGCTGTTCTTCCAAAGGATCTCGGCGTGATTCCCAGCACCCACATGGCAGCTCACAACTGTCTATAACTCCAGTTCCAGGTGATCTGATGCCTTCTTCGCACCTCCATGGGAACACATGTGGTCCACATACATACATGTGGGCAAAACACTCATACCGACAAAGCAAAATAAATAAATCTAAACAAATTTTAAGAAAACCAAAAACAACATTTAAATAATTAATTAGTTTACACAGATATTTAAATAATGAATGACTGATAAATATAGATTTAAAAACAAAACAAAGACATCTTAGCTTCTCATTTCATATTCAAAGCAAAAGAATTATTTTGAGCCTTTTTACTTCCTAAGAATCACATATGTGGCACCTACATCCAATACTCTAAATTTAAGGAATTCAAACCAACACGCTTTTGCCTTCAGTCAACAATTCTTTATATAAAGAGCCAGGTAACATAGATATTAGCATTTTAAGACAAGGTTTCTCTGTGTAACCCTGGTTGTCCTGGAACTCAACTCATCCTGTAGACCAGGCTGGCCTGGAACTCACAGAAATCCACCTGCCTCTGTCTCCCAGGTACTGGGATTAAGGGTGTGCATGCATCTCACCAACTGGCTCAAATAGTAAATATTTTAAGCTCATCCAGCTATACCCTTCACAGCTCAAATGCTCCCAGTGTCCATGAATGTCTGTTGTCAGTAAACTTTCTTACAAACATTGAAGTTCGAATTTCATGGAATTTTCATGTATCATGAAATATTAACATTCTATTTTTTAATTTACCACTTAAAATATGTAAAATGTTTTTATTTAGCATGTGGGGTGTACAAAAACAATCTTAGCCCACAAACCACAGTTTGCCTACCCTTTCAGCAATTTTATTCCTTGAGGGAACAAAAATGGTAATATAGGAACTCCATAATTGGCCCATTTGTGATTTTCAGTGGTGGGTGTGATTGTGTTTATTTTTGCTATAGTGATTTCATCCACCATGCTTCAAGGGTTTCCCCCTCCAAGCCATCCACCCTCCCTGCAAGGAGTGCATTAAGCATAGCTAAAGTACGGGTGACCCCTTGTGGTTGCACTGCAAATGGCAGGCGCTTCCCTGGAAGTTACCTCCTAGAAGGATGGTAGGCAGAGGGCAGCTAGGCTGGCTCCTGGGATAGTTTGCCAGCCCGAAATTGTGTGATTATAGTTGTGGTTGTTGATGAAATGGGGCAAGATAAAGTCCAAAGTTCAGCAGCTGTCTCCAAAGGGGGCATCCAAACGTGGTTCTTCTTCCTATTTTAAAACAGTAGCAGCTGCAGTTTCCAAAGCTTTCCTGTTTGAAAGCACCAGCGATAGTCAGTTCCCCTAGCTTGGTTATAGCCATTGATGTCTAAGGACAAAAGAGGAGCAGGACACTTCTCATATAGTCACAAAGGGAAAGAAAGCACAGGTGAAGCACCTAACTGTTGAAAATCAACTGCTGAAAGTCAGGCATAAGATTCCAGCACATACCTGTGACTTCAGTGCTCAGGAGCCTAAGGTGGGAGACTAAGAAGTTCAAGGACAGCCTGAGCTATGTAGTAGAGACCTTGTCTTAAGAAAGTGGGGGAGGGAGTTCCACACTGGAAAATGGTGAACAAGTGACTTAACAGCAAAGATTAGTAATTGAAATGTCACCGCAGCCCTGAGGCAAATGGGATTATATATTTATCCATACAAGTCACATTGTCCCAGAGGTATTAAATGATTGTGGGAAAAGCATTTTTTTTCATTCTTGGTAAAGGGTTAAAGCAGTGATACTTTCCATTGTCATGCCTCCAGAAGTGTTTGACCAAAACTTCCAATTCTCTGTGCAGGACACGAAGGAGACCCTGCACCTTGAAGGCTCTCAACCACCCATTTATATTGCTGTAAGAGCAGAGAGGACTTGGGGCTTCAGGGCTTCTCTCAGCCATGGGCACCCTCAGCATAAGCAAAAAGCTGGGTAGTTGTGAGTAGGTGAGCTGGCAAAGGGTGTGTCCTCCATGCTGGTCACTCAGAATGAACACAGGGTAGAAGGCTGTACTGAGAGAATGGGCATCTAAAGCCAATCTAGGTCTGCATCCTTAAGACTGGAATGGATACAAATATTGAGTTTTGTGGTCTTAAGACTGTCATCACTTTCCGTGGATCCCACTCTTCTACAAGAAAATATAGTGTATGACAGAGTGAATTAGTTTCGTATGTATGTATTTGGCGCTGTGGGCAATGCAGTAAAGGGGACCTTTCCTCATGTCACCAAGGCAGATGGCAGAAGTGTATAACAGAAGACAGACTGAAGAAAAGCTTCCTCCCAGGCAGACTGGGAACTTAATGGGAACTCAATGCGCTTTGCCTGGTTGATGGTTACTTCTCAGCGCCCAGTATCCTCAGAAGTAAGCAATTAAGAGTACTGGCTAGCCTTCACCCGGCTCTCTCTCTCTCTCTCTCTCTCTCTCTCTCTCTCTCTCTCTCTCTCTCTCTCTCTCTCTCTCTCTCAGTTCTGTGGTGGTCTTGGTGACCCCCGTGATTTCAGTGTGACTTTCCATCTCACTTGTGTTTTACCATTAAAGGCACTAGAATAGTCTCCAAAAACTTATTTTAACACGGCCAGATCTGTACAGGAATCTGAATACTGTCGCTGAGACCAATGCAGATACGCTGTCTTCAACAGAACGTGTCTGTCCCCAGCACCTGGCTCTAGCACAGTAAGAGGCTAGCATCTCCCCACCACCCCCTTGCATTCAGGGACTGTCCAGAAGTAGAGGAATTGGCTTGAGTCTTCACGTAGAAAGAAAAAACGCTGAAGTTGGCACTTGACTATTTAACTATGGGGAGGGGCTCACTGACTCCTGATTGGTTTTACATTTCAACCTTTTTTTTTTTTTTTTTTTTTTTTTTTTTTCATCCTCTCCCTCTTTTCTGTTTCTGTCTGTGATCCCAGGGGAGGGGAAACGGGAATAGTGAGAGATCAAAAATAAACCTCTTATGTCAAAGCCGGGAAAGAAGTATAAATACGAAGGGCTAGGCAGCCCACTCGGTGCTTCCCGAGGAAGAAGGCGACTGCTCTGGACAGCGCGGAGAAGAGTGCTCGCGGCCCGGGACGCCAGCTGCTCGAGCTCCGCTAGGTTGGCTGGCTGGCGCAGGAGGAGCCGGCTGTGCGAACTAGAGGGGCCGCCAGGGGACCGCCGCGCCTGCTGCCGCTGGCCGAGTGGACCTCTCCATCTGATTGATCATTTTTCCTGGAGAGAGCGGCCTTGGGCCACCAGCACCTGCCTGCGCGCGGCTGCCTTCTTCCCTCTGCCGCGCTCCGCAGCCCTCTGCCCCCATGCTCCGCGACCCCACCGCCGCCCGGTGGCCGCCCCTCCTGCTGCTGCTATTGCAGCTGCCGCCGCTGCCACTCGTCTGCGGCGCCCCGGCAGAGCCGGGAACCGGGTCACAGGCCTCGGAGCTGCTGGTGCCCACGCGGTTGCCGGGCAGCACGAGCGAGCTCGCCTTCCACCTGTCCGCCTTCGGCCAGGGCTTCGTGCTGCGCCTGGCGCCCGACGCCAGCTTTCTAGCACCCGAGTTCAAGATCGAGCGTCTCGGGGGCTCCGGAGCTGCGGCGGGGGGCGAGCCGGGGCTACGCGGTTGCTTCTTCTCTGGCACCGTGAATGGGGAGCGAGAATCGCTGGCGGCGGTGAGCCTGTGTCGCGGGCTGAGCGGCTCTTTCTTGCTGGCAGGAGAGGAGTTCACCATCCAGCCGCAAGGCGCTGGGGACTCCCTGGACCAGCCTCACCGCCTGCAACGCTGGGGGCCCGGGCAGCACCAGGAGGACCCCGGGCTCGCCGCCGCTGAAGTCTTCCCTCTCCCTCAAGGATTCGAGTGGGAGGTGGAGATGGGTGAGGGGCTGGGACCGGAGAGAAGTAAGGACGAAAAGGACAGGGAGCAGGACAAAGAGGGGTTGCGCAAAGAGAGAGAAGACTCCAGTGAACTGCCACCACCCTTAAAATCCAAAACTAGGAGCAAACGGTTTGTTTCCGAGGCTCGCTTTGTGGAAACACTGTTGGTGGCTGATGCGTCCATGGCTGCCTTCTATGGGACAGACCTGCAGGTAGGACTCAAGAGCCTTCCCCGGACGCTAACAGCTAACAATCTAACATCTATCTCTTCCCAAATGACTTTCAATTCTTCTCTTCCCACTGGGGGGGGGGGACATCGAGCTCCCAAGCCCAACCCTAAAGGGGACTTTCTCCTTTCTGAGAAAGAACAGTAACTCCATTAACTTCTGCTATCCTGGCTTCCTATTTCCCAACCCCTAAGTCCCTTCCAATTTACAGTAGAGGCTCTGGTTCTGATTCTTCCGAGTTGGCATCCTGAGTCTCCTGCAGTACCCAGGCACCTGCTTTTCCCAAAGGACAGGAAAACTGCACCTTTTTGTTTGTTTGTTTGTTTGTTTTCCTTTAAGAGTTCTGCTACACCACCACCACCCTCCCAGGGCTGGCTTCCTTCAACTCTCTAGTCTCTAGTGGCAGTGATTCTCTGGGGTTCCCTAGTACAGGGGGCTGGGCTAAGACAAGGTAGCTGGGACTGTCTTTGGGTACAGAACTGAGATTCCTGTAAGTGAAAGAAGTCATAGGAACCTGGAAGGAAGCTGTCCAACTTCTGTACGCCCAGCTGGTTCTGATCAAGGGGCACGGGCTACCTTGCCAACCTGGCGCTCAGCCCTGGCAGAACTTGGCAATGCCAGCATCCAGCACAAGAAGGGAGGAGAACAGAATTTCTGCCTTAGGGGATTCAGCCCAGGAAACTGAAGTTTCAGTGAAAGGGGAGGGAGCTGGGCTAAAGGGTGAGGCTTTTCAGTTTACTGTGTCTAAAGGAACCAGAGCTGACCCAGCCATCCTCAGCCCAGAATCAGCTTTCAAATGTCCTGGGCAGGGAAAACTGAGTCTAGGACACTATAGCTAATAGCTGAGCATTCCTAACTACATGTAGTTGGTGCTGACTCAGCAAGAAGTGCCCCCCCCAAAAAAAAGAACAAAGTTCTTACCAAAAGGAGAAGGGATAAGTGTCCCATCTTCTGGAACATATAGAACCAGAAATGTTAGCTCAGCTAGAGGAAACTGACCTGCCCAGAGATCATAGGCTCCCAGTCAGAGATCCCAGCACCACAGCACCTTTATTAGGGTCCCTATCCAAGATTCAGTCTGTGCCTGACTGTTGTGGGTACCAAGGGCAAGGGTGCTACCTTTGCAGAATGGCCAGTCAAGGGGACAGACAGACAGCCTTCTGCTTCTCATATGGTCATCCCCGCCTTTCTGTGCTTCATGACAAAGTTCCAGTGAAAACCAGGTGGAGAGGACAGGAAATGTTGTGGGTGAGAAGTCTGCATGATTGCTGTTCTATCTACTGCGCAGACCAGTTAAACTTGGGGCAGGCTTCCTGCATGCTTTTGCGGTATTGACTCTGCTCAGAGCACTGCGAGGTTTATCAGTGCTGATGCATATTTGATTTGCTGCCTACCCTGAGAGAAGGTACCAGCCACTTCTTCTGACTTCTTTCCCCCAATAAGTATTGGAGATGTAAAAAAGGGTGAGGAGAGGGCTTCCCAGTTCTCTAAGACCAATACATCTGGCTCCAGACTCCTCCAGGAACAAACCCAGAGCTAAAACTTATGTCTCTATCCCCCAATTGGACCAGTCTCTGACATCCTTGACCGCCAAAATGTAGATCAAGAACAAGGAGAAACTGCCGGAAAGTCAGTTTTTCAGAACTCTGAGCCAAGATGTCCTCCCTAGCACCTCCCTCAGCTCCTCATTTAAATCCTGAGATGTGAAACATTTCCTTCAAGGATGTACTTGGCATCTCCAAAACTCACACTTGTCCAGGCTCCAGAATTCCCTAGCTACCGAAGCAGGACATCTGGTTCTGTCCCAGGTTATGCTGACTTCTGCTTGAGATCCAGGTTTGTTGCTCATACAAGCTGACTTTCTCTGTGAAAACCACCAAGTCCTGCTATCTTAAGACCCAGCTTATTGAAACCCATCCCCTTCATACAGAAGCTGGTCCTAAACATGTAGTCTGCAGGGAGGCTCCTGAGTGATTCATTCACGCAGACAGAAGACGCTTTGGGGTGTCTTTGGCTAATGAGATAGACAATGGTGAGGACAACAGTCCCTGATCCTCTAAGGAACAAGACACTTGGACAAGGTAATGGATTCTGGCCTACGAATCTGAGACTGCCTTGTGATGAGCCCAACTTCTCCTCTCTAAGTATGCTCCATTTAAAGAGTGGTTTTTCATGCAGGACCTCAACAGAAATGCTTCTGAGAGAGGAAGGGTATACAGATCAAAGGGGACTTGCGACTTTCCTAAGGTCATTCTAGTAGGTGTGGCAAGCTAGATTTACCACACACCCCAGATTTCCTGAACCTAAAGCTAGCATTCTTTGTTGTTGCACCCTACTGAATGTTCTCCTGAGGAAGCTCTGTGGTCCTAGCCATACTCCTACAGCTGTCTACTTTGTGATGGCTCCTTTTAAATCCAGCAGTCTCAAGATGCCCCACCAAAGTGCCAAGCCCCATTCTGAGAAGAAACCACTGTTGTCTTTAAAGCTTCAAGAAAGAATCAGCTATGATCCCGACTGTCACTGCTATCGATAGGTGTCACTCTAGTGACAATGACATTTACCAGAACTCTGTGAGTTCACTTAATCCCTTCACAAGAGAGGCCCCTACCTCCCACCTCCTTATCTGGTTTCAGAGTTAAGGGCTCATCATGAAGCAGTCTCACAGATGTGTAAACCAGAATCCATTATCTTGTCCAAGTGTCTTGTTCCTTAGAGGATCAGGACTCTTGTCCTCACCATTGCCCACCTCATTACCCAGAAACACCCAAAGTACTTTCTATCTGTGTGAATGAATTGCTCAGAACTTCCCTGCAGGTTACACGTTAAGGACTGGCCTCTGCAGGGAGGGAGTGGGTTTGAATGAGCCCAATCTTAATGTATCAGGACTTGGTTTTCTGTGACAGAACCAAATGCCCTGCTTCGGTAGCTCAGGAATTCTGGGGCCTGGACATCAGTGATTCCTATCAGGGTTGGAACAAAGGGAACTTTCTGATAGGAGGGACCACCTTGGGGGAGTCCAATAACTGTGTCTACATCTCAGATGCTACCAACTGTCCCCTGGGTGACCTTGGAACAGAACAAAGTCCCAGCAGCAGGCAGACCTCCTATGCCTTCTCAGCAGGGAGGGTCTAGGAGTGGTGTTCTTCCTCCCCACAGTAGACTGGCGCATTCCCAGATATCAAGGTTCTGCGAAATGATCCAGGAAGAGGCTGTCTCGGCCATCTCATTTACCTCTACCTTCCGGAATGAATGCTTCTTACAAGCACTAGTATCATAGTTACCCTATACACTGGTTTGCCCAGAGGAATCCCTGCCTGGTAGCATAAATAAAAACAGTGTCATCTCTTGATGTTAGTAGTGATAGTTTGGGTGAGAGACGGGTTATAGGACTCATCAACTTTATAGCTATGTCAATCTTCATGGGTAGAAGATTGTTGTGTTACATTAATTATGTTCAGCCCCCCTTCCCAATAATGAATCCTTTCTATCTCTTGCATCTACTGCAATCAGAATGACCAAACATATTTATTTCCCCAAGAAAATCCCCAAATATCCAAATGTGGGGGCGGGGTGGATCATGGCAGGGTAGCCTGGATTGCTCATTTGCTTGCAAACTCTGGTTTTGGTTTTCCTTGTAACAGCCAAGGTTGATGGTAGTAGGGTGGTCAGGAATATAGACTTAGGAAAATAGAAGTAACTGAGAGTTTCTAGGCAAGTATCTATCTCTCTGTGCCTTGATTTCTTCACGGGGAAATGGGAGCAGTCATAGCCAAGCCCTGAGATTGTCTCAAGAATGTAAGGAAGCATGGAACACATCTGAGCCAGGGTCTGGTGCTCACCAAGGCTCAGCTATTCCTAGTTGCCTTTGGTGATAAAAGGCATTTGTCTGAGTGGGTATAATGCACTGGAATGCTAGCCATTGCTTTTCAGCTTTGCTGTCCCACATGGCAGAAAGACCATCTTTACCGATTGCCCCAACTCTGGGTGTTTAGGGTTGGTTTCTGGCAGTTCTGAATAAGGGTAGCTTTTGCAACAACACCTTTTGCTGTTTTGACAAAAAAGGTGAGATAAGTATGACTGTGAGTCTCGCTCTTTCTTCCCTCCTTTGCCTCCCCCTTTCCTCCATACAGCACTATCTAAGGGCCTAGAGTCACAGCAGGAAATAAGAGTAGAAACGCCACATATGGGCATACATTGCCACTCTTCTGACATCCCCTGGAATGCCACACAGGATTTAGTTCAGTATCCACTGTGTGAGAGCAAATAAAGTACTGCAGGTGATGTTGTAGCCAGGATGAGGAGCCATTAGTAGTGCACTTTGCTGAGGTTCAGCCTCTACAAGGATCCCAAAGGTAGGCTTTGATTGCCATAGAAACATCCAAGAACCTGGGGAAGGAATGTTCATACTTGTAGCTCCAAGAATTCTGGGGGCACTAACAGAGAAGACCCCCCTCCACAGAAATGCCACCTTTACCTACAGAAAATTAAGTTGTTGATTCAACTTGCCTGTGGTGGTTATGGGCTTCCATCACTCTGGGATAGTTTTGGAGGTTGTCTACCAAACAACAGGGGCCTCAGACAACAGGGGGAAGACTCATTTCTACTCTTTAACTAACAGTTCATGCTTGTGTGGTAAGCAGGGGGTGTGGGGTATAAATAGACACCAGGTGGCAGAGCAAGCAAGCCATTTGACCTTTTCTCTGACTGGAACCTGGGCCTGCTCCCTGTATCTGTAAGTCCGGTCTGTCCTTCAGGACCCAGAGAACAGATGGGGATTCAGAAGCTTACAGACTCCAGGTGACATGCCTAGCCCAAGCTCAGCAATCCTTGTCCCTGGAGAACTATGACACACACTAGGATGCAGAGCTCCCGCCACAGTGTCTAGAAGATCCAGCTGGACAAGGGAGATAGTGGAGATGACCTGCTTCTGGGTGAGATAGGGACTGGAGGTTCTGAAAGGAACGCTGGGTCGTGGAATCTGGGTGACCCTCCACCATGCAGATTATCTTGTAAGATAGTCAGTGACAAAGAGCTTAAGATTTCTCCATAGCCAGCTGGCGCCTTGGAGGTATGATTCCCTGGCCATCTCAGCCTGATAGATGTTCAGTGTCTGGAGAAGAGGATCTCATGAATTCCCTATCCTGTACTCCATCCACATAGCTGTTTGCATTTTGCCTGAGGGACTAGTGCATTATCTGTTGCTCTAAGTCTGGTTTGGTCTGGTCAGCTTGCACATACAGACCATTCTTGGATCCCCAGATCTTCCAGATCCTCACAGTAGACCTCCTTGGTTGAATACCTGGAATCCAGCATCTTGGCCTCACACTGTTTTGAAAAGATCTCATCTCCCTAGTTTTCAGATTTGCAGCTGGGACTCAACAAAAAGAAATCCTGGAAGGACAGTTGCAGATTGCTCCAGAAGAGATTCCCAGGGCTTGGTCCAGTCAGATCCTAGACTCACCATGCAGACCAGAGACTGTCTGTCCTCTCTCAATAAGCAGTGAAGATCTTGCCAGAAACTTGTCTCACAAGTCACCACTCCTCAGGACTCACCCCCAGTCGCATTGCATAAGGATGTGATTGCATTTTTCCCCTCAGTAATCCAACCCAGGGAACAAATGCCAAGTTGCAGCTTTGCTGATAAGATGTTTACATCAGGCTAAACAAGCTGGAGTGCATGGCCTGCTGAGTAACCTGAGCTCAGAAACCCGCCAGCCTGTTTGTAGGGCTAATGAAACATCTGGTCTATTGCCTACAGGATGAACAGACAGGGCCCATTCACAAATAATGAACTCCCACACATGGCCTTCCTCGATGGAGTGCCTCCCTCCTCATAGCCTTTCCTCTCCTTCTACTCCCACCTTTTAGACCACAGGAGAACAGAGAGAGAGGGGAGCTGAGGGATATGAAGCTCCAGGGAGCAGCAAAAAAGGGCAAAGCACGCAAGTAAGCAACTGCTCAACTGGCCGCACCATGGATTCAAGGCATGCCAGCTTGTCACCCTTTGTCCCTGCCTCTGAAAAATAATCCATAAGGTCCCAGAGGCAGGACAATAATCTCCCATCTGGACTTCCCTCAAAGCCTCGGAATCCAGCAAGAAAGCAGTTGGCAGCTCAAGGATAGGCCACAGGCCAATTAATGATGTAGGATGGTAGGCCCTTCATTTGGCCTGGGTGGGACTGAGAGCAGGTGGGATCCTCAGCATGTGGGTCTCATTAGGCCCTCAGGCTTCTCTCAAGTCTCAAATAGAAATGAATAAATACTAGGGAAGGTGGGAGGGGAACAACTGTCCAGGCAGAAACCAGAAATATGAACTCTAGGGACCTCTAGGGAGGAGCGTGGACCTCAGACACTGACCTGGGCTGGTATCTTGACTTTAAGAGTAGCGTGATCTGCAAGAACTTTTTGAATAAGCAGAATAGCAATGCCTGACCTATAGTTACTGTGAGAAGTCAATGAGGTGATGTGTCAACTATGGCCAATGACTTCTACAGAGTGTCTGTTGCTAAGGGTAATTATTAGAGCAAAGTTTGCAGAGTTAACAGTTCCCATGCTACAAAGAAGTCATCCCGATGAATACCAGGAAAATGCTCAGACAGATCCTAAGAGGGAAATTCCACTGACTGTGAGTCTTTAGACTATTACTTGAGTGAAGCCAGGGAAGATGGGGGTGCTTCACACGGAACCAGCTGGTGACCTAGGCAGTCAGAATAAGCCATCCAATTCAATAGAACTTTTTATTTACAGTTCCAATGCAGCATCCATACTCCATGTACAGCTGCTGATGGACTCCAACTGTGGCTGGTGCATTGGAAGAGCTAACTGTATTGAATTTTAATTAATTACTAGGAAGTAGGTCACTCCCATGACCTGGATCTTAAATGCTCAAGTTTTGTGATCAAATAGGTCTGCGCGCAGATGATGGTTCATTAGCTTTGTGTTCTTGGACTTGTTCCTCTCTGGGGAAATAGCACCAAGTCCTCGAATGTTTTCCTAATCCTTATGAGATGCTACATATCTAGGGCTCAGCCCAGAGTCTGTCATGTGTGAGGTGAGTGGTAGCACTGGGCAGCCAAGGGCATGAAAGTGATTAGTGTTCTCTCACTGTTCCCCCTCCCTGGTAGAACCACATCCTCACAGTGATGGCAATGGCAGCCCGAATCTACAAGCACCCGAGCATCAGGAACTCCATCAACCTTGTGGTGGTAAAAGTGTTGATAGTGGAAGAGGAAGGATGGGGCCCGGAGGTATCGGACAACGGTGGGCTCACACTGCGCAACTTCTGCAGCTGGCAGCAGCGCTTCAACAAGCCCAGCGACCGCCACCCAGAGCATTATGACACTGCCATTTTGTTCACCAGACAGGTGTGTGGGCTGGCCCTGGAAGCCCGTGAAGTTGGGAAGATGGCAGATAAAAGGGAGAGCTCTGAGGTCTGCCCAAACATGGGAACTGTCTCCCTGCTGGCTCCAGCTGGACTTGGGAGGCCTCTTGCTGGAATGATGAGAAAGAGGTTATGGGGACAAGTGTGAGGCCATTGCAAGGGGAGAAGAATCTTATAAGGGCCCTTTTCCAAAAGTTTGTGACCAGCTGTCTGCTGAGGTCATACCAAGAGGAAACAGACTCAAGCTGCCCTGGGAGAGGTCTGGAAATGGAAATGGGAAATGGGTTCTGTCTTCAGGCTGCTTAGGCATGGGGATGATAACCTAGGGATTCCCGAGGTTGTCACATAGAGCAGCTTGGTGACTTAATTAAACAGGTTTCCTGAAGGCCGTGAGCACAGTTATGTATGCCAGGCCTTGCCTATTTCATTAGTCCTCATGAGAGCCACAGGTGGAGGTAAAAGGGTCTTATACCCATTTTGTAACAGAGGCACCAAGAGGCCATCCGGCAGTGGTGCCCACGGGTAAGCCCAAGCAATCCTACTGCAGGGCCAGACTCCAAGCATTTATGAAGCTCTATAGCCCAAAGCAAGTCTTTGAAGTTCCAGCCAAGCCAATTGTCACTCAGTGACCCCCTCTTGCTGCCGTGTGTGTGTGTGTGTGTGTGTGTGTGTGTGTGTGTGTGTGTGTGTGTGTGTAGTGCTAAGCTTAGAAAAACAAGAGTAGGTGAACCAGTTGTCACAACCAAGACAGAAAAATCAAGAATGCAGGACAACTGGGTGGGATGTCTAGAAGCTAAACTCTACTGACTATCCCATTCTTTTTAAAAAGCTTTAGAAGGCTCAGTAATGTTTACAGCATCAGGTGGTGTCTCTCAGAAGGCTGAGTGAGACAGTGGGCACTCACTCTGCTCTCCATGCCTATTTCTGCAACCTAACATGCTCTCTTTACCAAACAGAATTTCTGTGGGAAGGGGGAACAATGTGACACCCTGGGAATGGCAGATGTCGGCACCATCTGTGACCCTAACAAGAGCTGCTCAGTGATCAAGGATGAGGGCTTGCAGGCAGCCTACACTCTGGCCCATGAGCTAGGTAAGAGCTTGCTTCACACATCAGAGAAAGCTTTGCCTTTCAAGTCCACAGCTGCCCGGATTCTGAGAAGGAATCAGTCTCATTTGTAGGCACTGACAAAGTGATTCTGTGTAAATAGATGTTGTACCTGATATTACTGACTCCATTCCTACCCTGAGCATAAGACCAAAGCAGCAGTATCCAGAGAATGCCCAAACATGGCAGAAATATTAGGGTCACAATGATGTAAGTAAGCTAAATAGTTAGGCTTCATGGGGAGATGGGTTATGAAGAGATAGCCATGTTAGACAAACAGCAGTAGAAGTGAACATAAGATCCAGAGAGATCTGCCAAAAACTAAAGGCATCTGTCTCAATGGTTCTCAGTCATATGAAAGGCTTCCCGGAAGTAGACCTGAGGATAAAACCCAAAGCAAAAGTGTTCAGGGAGTCTGGGTAGCCATGCCAGTTGGGAGATAGTGACAGGAAAGGACTGTTGAACCCATCAACATTGCTGGCCACACAGGGACAAACAGGCAGGACAGGGCACCTGGAGGTGTGGGCAAGCTGGAATGAACCACGGTTCTCTGCTCCCCCCACCCCCAACCAGGGCACGTTCTCAGCATGCCCCATGATGATTCTAAGCCCTGTGTGAGGCTGTTTGGGTCCATGGGCAAATACCACATGATGGCACCATTCTTCATCCATGTGAACAAGACGCTGCCCTGGTCTCCCTGCAGTGCTGTGTACCTCACAGAGCTCCTGGATGATGGTCACGGTATGCTCCACTCTGCTTCCCTCAACTTCTCCCCACCCATCTGCTTTAGAGCCTCTTTCATGACTGCTGGCACCTGCTCTGCCCTGGGGACTCCCTGCAGCTGTGCTTTCTCACAAAGCCCACAGGGTGGGGAGAGACTTCAGAGGCATGTCATCCTAGAAAGGCATGCTAAGCATCCTCCCAGAATGCTCTTCCTTGCCCCATCTTCCCATAGCCAGAGCTCTGGGCTAACTTAGATGTACTCATTCCAAAGCAAAAAGAATTAGTCTGAGAAGGTTGTCTGGAAGCGGTGAGTTAAAGCAGAACGTAAAGGAATGGAAGGCTGTTTGTAGTTTGAAAAAGCAGAGAATGTTCCAGGCTGGAGTGGTAGACTGTACGGCAGCTGAGAAATGGCAAAAGGACTGTGAGCAGGTCACTCCAGAGCAAGGGTCTAGGGCAGGGGTGCAGAGTTAAAGAAGTTTGGATTGTTGAACAAAGTAGTGAAGAAACTATTCTAGATTCTAGTAGGCAAGGATATAGCTGATGCAGAAATAGTAGATAGTACAAATGTCAATAATCAGACTTTATTGCATGCCCAGGTTCATAAGTGGGGTGTAGTTTAATAGTGCAAGTGGCTGGCAGTTACTAGATACATGAGCATCACTGGAAAACTGCCTGACATGTTTTGAACAGTAAAACTCATCCTACAGAAACCTTTGCTATAGTTGCCCAGAATTAAATGAGCTCTATGTATATGATTGGATGTTGGTGGTGTTTAGATCAAGGATAAAGAACCTGGGATGCCCAGACACTTAAGTACATCATTCAGAATTGGAGCTTCATGCAGGAGACAATGGGGACCTGAGAGCAAGGCGCCACCCTTGTTCTGACTCATCTCTTTCCTCTGTTCTCAGGAGATTGTCTCCTAGATGCCCCTACCTCGGTCTTACCCTTCCCCACAGGCCTTCCAGGCCACAGTACCCTCTATGAGCTGGATCAGCAGTGCAAGCAGATCTTTGGGCCTGATTTCCGCCACTGCCCCAACACCTCTGTGGAAGACATCTGTGTCCAGCTCTGGTGCCGCCATCAGGATAGTGATGAGCCTGTTTGCCACACGAAGAACGGCAGCCTACTCTGGGCTGATGGTACACCCTGTGGCCCTGAGCACCTATGCCTGTATGGCAGCTGTGTGCTTAAGGAGGAAGTGGAGAAGCCCAAGGTGAGAAAGGTGGAGAGGAGATTAAGGAAAGAGATGAAAGCTGGAGTGGGAGGCAAAGGTACCACATTTGAGAGGCAGGCTAAGCTTTCAGCCAAGTTGCAAGTGTGTATCAGAAAAATCACTCATCTTTCAACAACACAAACTGTAACTACCCCCACTGAGGAGCTTTGAGGCTAGCTCCGTGTAAATGGGATGCTGCCATTGCTACCTGCACTTTAGCATCTCCTCCTTGGTGCCCTTTTGTAGCTAATTTGGGAGAAGGTGTGAAGACCAGAAAGAAGGTGGGCACTAAGCAAATGAGAGCCTGAAGGAATCCACTATAATTAGAGAGTGACATGAGCTAGGATTATTTCATCAAGGTCTGAGTATTCTTGCCTACCACGTTTGAGCTGAGTGTCTTAGTAGAAATCAGAGAATTTGTGTAAGAGTAAGAATGCCATACTCCCAGAGGAGGAGAGAAGGGATCCGAGTGGCCTGTGTTCAAAAAGAGAAAACTTGGCCCAGTACAGAGGAAACTTACATGAAAAACCAAGCCAATGCCAGTGAGGGTTCTAAGTGGTTCATTTCTTCTCCCTGCTCTTAATACATCCAAACAGTAAGGCTGATCACATTTCTCCTACTGCAAGTCATGGAGCCTTCATGATGAAATACCATCCAATGAGTTTCACAGCCTGGACCCTGCCCAGCACTGAATCGCCACGGTGGCTCAATCATGTTCCAAGGGCTGTCCTCGGTGGCATTCAGTTGTGCTGAGCTTGGGAGCCTTCCTGGCCTGTGAAACACCACACACTCTCATCTGAAGCCTGGGCCGGTGCAGCATTCATGGATTCCAGCTCAGCCAGCTCCCGTTCTGCCCATTCATTCTCTCCTGGAGTTGAGAGGAGGATCCAACCACCCATCTCAGAGGCAGGGTGACATAAAACAGTCACAGGATCATCTATCCTTAAAGTGAAAAGGCAGGACTGGAGACTAACTTTTGTATGCAGCGCCATGCCTGTCAAATGAAAGTACCACAGCTTTAGGATTTTATATCAAAGCATATGGATGGAAGGGTACTGTGAGAATCACGGGAGTGGCTTCTTTTGGGGCAGTGGTGTATTTTGAATGACTGCTTTCTTTTCTTTCTTCCTTTATTTATTTTTTTCATTCTTCTGCTTTTATTTTTATATGGGCAAAGGTGGCTTTAGTAAAAGAAAAAATTAACTTAGAACTCTCTATGGAGCTATCAAGGAAAAGATTTTGTTCTCATAAGTCTGTTGTAAACTTGGAAGTGACTCTGTTGGTTGCCCAGCACTGTCTTTGCTCTGAAACCGGTAGCTGAAAACAAGTGTGACAAGACCTCTCAGTGACCATTTCTTTAGACCAAGACTTCTCAGCCTTGCCACCAGTAACATTTGGACCTGGGAAAGGCTTTGGGGTAGTGTGCACTGTTAGCTATTTAGAAGAATCGTTGTCTTAATTCACCAGGTGCTAGTGGCATATTATCCTCCCTAGGTGAGGCAAGCACAATGACTCCATGCTCCTCCATGAAGAACAGCATGGGCCCCAGTGGAAACCTACTGCATCAGACCCAAACTCATTCATAAATGTCTCTCTCCCCTACTCATTCAGCAGCTATTGTGTTGAGCACTTGGCAAGAGTAAAGTGCTGTTTTACATCCACTGGATGGTCACAGCAAGCAAACCCAGAGCAGCCTCTATGCTCACACTATCAAGCCACACCAAGCAAGGCACACTATCATAAAACAAGCCATTGAAATTATTATTAGAACTCCATACACTCACATGAGCATAACTTAGTTGAGGAAGTCAGGTCCACAGCCAACAAGTGACACAGACAACTGAAGTTTGCCCCTCTTTGGTTCTGATTCAGTAACTTTGTGTGTTGCAGGCTGTGGTAAATGGAGACTGGGGTCCATGGGGACCCTGGGGAGAATGTTCTCGCACCTGTGGAGGAGGAATACAGTTTTCCAACCGTGAGTGTGATAATCCGGTGCCTCAGAATGGAGGAAGATTCTGCCTGGGTGAGAGAGTCAAGTACCAATCATGCAACACAGAGGAATGTCCACCAAATGGTAATTACCTGCCGGCATAGTGGATGGTGTAAGTGCAACAGATCCCAAGAGGAGGGGAAGGCAAGGGCCACAGGGTATAGCATTGAGTCCTGATCCGTTCCAAATTTACACGGATTCTGCAAGACATCGAGCTTGGGAGCAGTCCTCAAGCACCCAGGGCAGCTCTCAGTTTTGGGAAAGGCTGGTAATGTCAAAGAAGGGAGACTACCCTTGTCCTGGTCTCTGAGCTGTAGACAGACAAAGCATGTCACTCCCAACCAAATCTGCCTGGAAGGGACTTTTGAGGTGGGGTTGTGTGGAGGGTAATCATCGTCTTGGAGGCATCTGAACCCTTCTCTATGGGCAGACAGAAGCCTTTTCCAAAGCAAGTGTCAGAGCCAAACCTCCAAGGCCTCTCCAGCCAGCGTTCAGCTCAGGCAGGAGAGAGGATCTCGGAGTGTGATTCCTGGGTACATTCCTTCTGAGAAGAGCTGCCCATCTACCCTTGGAGCCATGGCAACTACCTGACAGAGCCTTCCCAGGAAAGAACACCACCTCTGCCTCCCTTTGCTCATTCCTATCCCCCTAGGTCATGCTAGAAAGCACACATGTAAACTCAGAGGTGGACAAGGGCAGTAGCCAACTCAGGAAAAGGAATTGGAATTTTTTTCACCACCAATCCAGCACTAGTTTGGACAGCTCCAGGAAGTGCTGGCAGCATAAAAAGACAAGGGAAGCTTTAGGAGAAATTGTCCCAAGTACCAAGATGCTCTGGCACTGGGCTAGGTGTCTAACAGGGAAATCTGTAGGCTCTGCAGTTTTGCTAAACAGGAAGGATCAGTAATGATATGAGGGTTTAGAAATTTCTCTCTGGTATTGAGAGTTTGCAAAGTAGGCATAAATGATAGGTGATATTTTGATTTCACATGTACTGAGATCAGCCAGTGTCTCTGTGTGTCCATAACTAATAGATTAAACTAGAAACATACAAGGCAGGGTCTTGCAGTGTAATTAGTGGTAAATTATTTTACATAGCAATTATGGCTTCCTCTATGAGGCAGCAACCCTGGGCTTCTGAGGAATTCAGAGAAAGGCCCAGGGGATGATATATTGGTGAGACAGGAGGAATGGGCCTGGGTGAGGCAGGTATAAGATGCGCTATCATTTGCTCAGGTAGGGCCAAGCAGAAAGTAGCAGCATGATGTAGCCAGACCAGAAAGGCCCTTAAAGTCTGACACATTGTATGTGGATTGTCCATGACAACTATCCTATCAGGTCACTTTGAAGCCTTTGCAGGCATAGCCAGGATCCCTTTAGCAATATGGACTCACAAACTCAGCACTGTACAACTGTGTTTAGAAATCTCCATGGGCCATTTGGATGCACAGCCAGGGTGGAAATGCATGGTAGAACAAGCAGGCTTATTTCAGGATTGTGCAAGGAATCACTCACATCTGAAGGGTAGATTGGTCTGAAGGCAGTGCATATATGCCTTCATATGAGCACTGGGGAGGCTCGCTGGAGGCTGAGCACAGGGTCCCCAGAGCACAGCATGAGGCCTGGGCCTGTGATTATGAGAGTCATACACATGCACTTGAAATCACAAATTTTCCTGAATTTGGCAGAGGATGTCATGGTAGATTAGAATAGCATAGAGAGATGCTTGAATGTTCGGGATGGTGGGGTGCCAGTCTCATTTTGGGTTATAATAATGCCAAACCAAAACAATTATCAGAAGACTAAGATAATGCTGATTGAGGGGTAATTATAGTACCTGCAGATGGAGCTCTCTCATAGACACTCAAAAAATGAGATGTAGAGGCAAGACCAGAAATGTCAGTGAGTCTTTGCCACGTGTCCGTTGTTACTAGGGAAATCAACACAGAGTATAATTAGCAGAGCCCTGAAAATATCGCTCTGTATCAATCATCCGTGCCCAAATGGAAAGGATATTTGTGCCAGAAAGCCCAGTGTGAGGCTGGATGACTCCTCCCCTTGGATCTTTTAGGAAGGGTCACCCACCAGCACCCAGGTATGTCTAGAAATAATGGGCTATGCCTGTGTCCTTGGGGTGAGTCTGAAGCCTAGAGAAAGAAAGGGACCCTGGAACCACAGCTTTCTCTACCAGAGTCCTTCAGTGGGTGTGTTACTTCCATATTCCTTGCACTTCTCAGGCAAAAGCTTCAGGGAGCAGCAGTGTGAGAAATACAATGCCTACAACCATACTGACATGGATGGGAATTTCCTGCAGTGGGTCCCCAAATATTCAGGAGTGTCCCCCCGGGACCGATGCAAGCTGTTCTGCAGAGCCCGGGGGAGGAGTGAGTTCAAAGTGTTTGAAGCCAAGGTAAGAGTCTCCTGGATTCCGACAGGGATGGGAACAACAGGCATGTATTGCCACCCCTGCCTGCAGATTGCTTCTGTGTGCTACATGTCCCCTCTTGCCTTTCCCTTCCCAGGTGATCGATGGCACCCTGTGTGGGCCAGATACTCTGTCCATCTGCGTCCGGGGGCAATGTGTGAAGGCTGGCTGTGACCATGTGGTGAACTCACTTAAGAAGCTGGACAAATGTGGGGTGTGTGGGGGCAAAGGCACTACCTGTAGGAAGGTCTCCGGTTCTTTCACCCCCTTTAGGTGGGTATCCTAGTGGTTGTACCTAGGCAGAGGAACACAAAGGGCTTTGGACACTGATGGCTTCTAGTGTAAATTACAGCTGCTAGTTAACAGTTGTGTAGATGGCATGGGGGGGTGTCTTATAAGTACTTCAAGTCTCCATTTCTCCTCAGAATGTCAGTGGTCTTCAATTCTCACAGTCATTGTCAGGATTTCCTGAGGTAGAAGGTGTAGAGCACTTGGCATAGGATCTGGCCACAGAGAGGATGGGACCAGGGAAGCCATTATTAGTTTATTAGAGCTGGAAACCACATGGACAGGAATGTGTCAGCTCTGAGTCAATTAGCAGGAGAGCAACACTGAGTAACCCAGGACTCACACACAAAAGAGCTCTCCTGGGCCAATGGAAAGGACATCTAACCCTAAGGCCAGTGAGCCCCGTCCTCCTATGACTAGCTCTTCATCAGAGAAGAGAGCACAAACCAGTGAGTGGCTCAGCACCCTTGGGAATCTGAGGACTCAGAGAGCTTCTCACAGCATTAGAGCTCCTGGGGTGTTCCAAAGGGCATTCATTCTACTGGGCAAGGCCAATACTGTTATTCCCTACCTTTGGGTGGAGGACCTGAAACATGGAAAGATCAATTGACTTTTCTAAGGTCATACTGAGAGCTAGTGATAGATAAAGAAAACTTGGGTTTCTTCTTTTCTTCTTCCTGCTGTGCCAAAGATTATACCCAGGGCATCTCGGCATGCCAGGCCAGGTTCTTTAAGTACCTGGTGATTATTGTCTGCTGTCCCTTGCACTTCCTGGAGCACCCCAGAGGGTAAGGTCGAGGTCAAGTGTTTCCTTGGTCACTCTGGTATCAAGCGCATTCATATGACTTTTTAATCATTCAAGCCTCCAATCCAGCCCCAGTACCTCAGAGCTTTCTAACTAGTGAACCTTGCTCCATCCTTCTCTATATTCCCCCTCTCTCCTTTCCTTCCTTTCTCCTTTACTCCCTCCCTCCTCCTTTTCTATCCTCTCCTTTCCATGTACATATGTTGTAGTAGTATATATCTCAGAAAATAGAACCAGTTCATAGCAGCCAACTTGGAAGTATTTTCACATTTAAGCTCAAAAACGGTTGAGTTATTCAGATCCTGGATCCCTTTAGCCACTCCTCCTAGGTCCTAGACATATGCCTTGGATACTTTCCCTAGCCTTAGACTGGTCCCAGCTGGACATAGAGAAAGAATAGCAAAGAGTCCACCTGATGGCCCTCCTCAATACTTTATCTCAGCCTGTGTAACCCAGATTCCCATAGGAGGACAAGGAACTAAGCTTTGACATCCTACATAAAGCCCCACGTCTACAATGGAGTGGAAGCATTTCCCCCAATAGTATCCCATCACCAAAAGCCATGGTACTCTTGGTGTCTGGGAACACTCAAAAGGAGGCTCCAGAGAAGCAAGTTTCACCTCCCCCCCCACACCAATCCTTCCCCATAGTAGTCAAATATTATATGAAGGCTAACTCAAAGCAGCAGTGTTAGTTTGCTTCCTGGCTGGGTTCTGGCACGAGTGACAGGCTCCAATTTTTCCTCATGAGATTGAGCTCTAGGTCTGGAGGTAGCTATGCCTACTTTTACCACTGTAAGGCAGCAAATGTATTTGAATTCTCACTTGAACCAAGGAGGGGCCAGGTTGCCAACACTTTTCTCCCAGGCTCTCCTGTGTTGCTGTCAAGGTCTACATGTCTAACTGCCTCAATATCCACAGTAGATTTATCAGATGAAGCAAAAACCCATGGGAAGCCCAATGCCCAAGACAATTCTGTCTTCCTTGCCAAATAATTTATTTAGAATTTTAAAAATGTTTTATTTATGTGCATTTGTGGTTTTGCCTGTATCTATGTCTGTGTGAGGGTGTGGGATCCTGGAACTGGAGTTACAGACAGTCGTGAGCTGCCATGTGGGTGCTGAGAATTGAACCCCAGGTCCTCTGGAAGAATAGCCAGTACTCTTAACTGCTCAGCCCTGTCTCCAGCCCCCTTATTTAGAACTTTGAGGCAATCACTTTATTATTTGCTGGTTGTTTTGTCTGTTCGCCCCCAGCCATGTGGGAAACTCATTTTAATTACCAGGCTAGGGAACCACCAGCCCTAACAGTTTTTCTGTCTCTATCATAGTTATGGCTACAATGACATTGTCACCATCCCAGCTGGTGCCACAAACATTGACGTGAAACAACGGAGCTACCCAGGGGTCCCAAATGATGGCAGCTACCTGGCACTGAAGACAACCACTGGGCAGTACCTGCTCAATGGCAACCTGGCCATCTCTGCCATAGAGCAGGACATCCTGATGAAGGGGACCATTCTAAAGTACAGTGGTTCCATGGCTACCCTGGAGAGGCTGCAGAGCTTCCAGGCCCTACCTGAGCCTCTAATAGTACAGCTCCTGACTGTGTCTAGTGAGGTCTTGCCTCCAAAAGTCAGATACACCTTCTTCGTTCCCAATGACAAGGACTTCAGCATGCAGAATAGCAAAGAAAGAGCAACCACCAACATCATCCAGTCTTTGCCCCATGCAGAGTGGGTTCTGGGGGATTGGTCTGAATGCCCTAGCACTTGTGGAGGTAGCTGGCATCGACGGACTGTGGAATGCAGGGACCCTTCAGGTCAGGCCTCTGACACTTGTGATGAAGCTCTGAAACCTGAAGATGCCAAACCCTGTGGAAGCCAGCCATGTCCCTTCTGATTCCCTTGGGGGGGAAATGTATTGGCTCATGGACTTGGGTTACTTGGGTATATAGACAAGGGTCCCCTCTGAGGTCATACTACATATCAAGATGGCTTGGACCTTCAGGGCCTCCTGTTACTACAGCCCTTTGGTTCTGCCTAATTCATAAGGAAGAGGAGAAGAGGGTATGAGGGTAACAGATCCTGAAGTTGACTGTCCAGTCGACTGGACCTTGCTTAGGTTCAAGTAGAGGGTATAGGTTAAAAGGTAAAAGTGCACTTATTGACCCAAATGGGAGACTTCAGAGCCTGCCTTTTTGAAAAGGACTAGCAAAGTTAAATGAAAAAGATTTTTTTTTTTCTATTTGGTTTCCCCAGTAATCAATCTACCTCACTGTGGGGGGAAAATCAGTATATGAGAGGTATGAGGCCAAGTGTTGTTGGTGAATATCAAAGCAAGCCCCATAGCTATCTCCAAGTTATCTTTAGAAATGACCATGAATATCTTCAGTGTTAAAAATCCAACGTCTAAAGGGTGATGGTGTCCATCACCGGTTTATAGAGAGCCATTTGTTCTCAGGCTGCCACCTGCTGGGGTGGACCCATTTCAACTATTTATGCAAATATGTCTCTGCACTAAAGTGTGATCTTATGCTAATGAAATTGTCTAGTCTGGTTCATTACTTCTCTGGAAAGGGCAAAGACCCAGCATCCAAAAACACAGGCTAAAACAAGCTAACTTGGAGCACACATAAGGGAACCCTATTTTTTCATTGTTGTTCATTTTGTTGTTTTGAGAGAGGGTCCCTTGTAGTCCAGAATAGCCTCAAACTCCATGTAATCAAGGGTGGTCTTGAGCTTCTGACCCTCCTGTCTCCACCTCCTCCCTCCCAAGTGCTGAAATTGCAGTGGTGCACCACCATGCCTGTTTCTAAATTTTTATTTATTTTGGGGCAGGGGCTTGTTATTCTCGAGAAAGAGAAAGTGAGCGTTCTGCTCAGCAAGCTACCCTATCAGCACTCTCATGTGCTGGCTTGCCTCATTTAAGAAAACAAACAAACAAACAAACCACAAGTGCCTCTTGGGACCCCAGGATTTCTCACCTTCTGCCTAGGGGACATCACTCCAGTGACATCAGCACCTGCTCAACACCTGACCCCCACCACATTTCACCCATATCTCACAACTCCTTTAGTCCAACTTCCCAAAGAACACTATGAACCTGGAATAACGGTCCCTAACTGATGCCCACTGGAAAGCCTGGGAGCCTCTAAAACCCTGTCTTCAGAGCTCATCTCTCCCAAGGCTCAGAAGAGCTCCCTGGCTCAATCTTCCATATAAGGGACACAATCCTTGGTCACAAATGGCTGAGAAGAAATGGGCATTAAAAATGGTATCCTAGGAGCTGAAGAGATGGCTCAGTGGATAAAGTGCTTGATGTTCAGGTGTGAAACCAGGGTCCACATCACCAGTACCCATGTAACAAGCCAAGTGGGTTGGAAGCCTGCCTGTAATTCCAAAGTTCAGAAGGAAGTGACAGGGGAACTACAGGCAAACTGAGTAGAGTTTACAGCAACTAGAGTAGCTAGATTACTTTAGTAGTAGACTAGCTAGAGTAACCAATCATCAAGCTCCAGGTTCGGCAAGACACCTTACCTCAATAAAGAAAGTGGGAGGCAATCAAGAAAGAGCTAATATCAACCTCTGACCTCTACATGCACCCACATGTACACACACACACACACACACACACACACACACACACACACACACAGACCATAAAGATATATGCATGCAAAAAATAAAGAAAAAAGAAGAAAGAAATCAAATTCTAGCAATAGAAGGGAAATGCCTCAATTTACACATCTTCCTGTTTTTGACTTGCCTCCAAGTTTCTCTCAAGACATGGGACATAGGCAGACACACAACTAAATGGAGCCTTGGACCTGGTGCTAGTGGCACATGCCTTTAATCCCAGCACTTGGGAGGCAGAGGATGGCAGATCTCTGTGAGTTTGAGGCCAGCCTGGTCTACAACAGCCAGATCTTCACAGAGAAACCCTGTCTTTAAAGAGAGAGAGAGAGAGAGAGAGAGAGAGAGAGAGGAAGGGGAGAGAGAGAGGGAGAGAGGGAGGGAAGGGCAAAGGAGGAAGAGAGGGAGAGAGGGAGGGAGGGAGGAAGAGAGGGAAAGAGGGAGGGAAGGAGGAAGAGAGGGAGGGAGGGAGGAAGAGAGGGAGAGAGGGAAGGAGGGAGGAAGAGAGGGAGAGAGGGAGGGAGGGGAGGGAGGGAGGAAGAGAGGAAGAGAGGGAGAGAGGGAGAGAGGAAGGAAGGAAGCAAGGAAGCAAGGAAGCAAGGAAGGAAGAAAAAAGCCCTGGTATAAATAAGGACTTAGACCTTTGGGGCACAAAGTAAGGCCAGTAGGCTTGCAGTCACTGCTGTCCTGCTTAACTGGTCTGACGGTGGCAGCTGACATCTACTTTTTCATGTCTGTCTAGTTTTTTAGTGAGTAGGAGGCCAGGCTTACCTAAATATAAATAACCGTGCACACACAGCCATGTTGTTGATGAGTGATAAACACAGCCCCCACCTCCTTTGGGGTGCCCCAGTTTGCTGAGACTGTTGTGTGTTTCTGCAAGTCTTCATGCCCTTCCGTTTCTCATCCTCCCCCAGATAATCAAAGACAAGTGTGCCACTATCCCTAACTCCCATGTCAGGCCAGCTGTGCCATCCCGACTGCCTGTATCATTACCAGACACAGCTTTTGCCCTGGAGTTCAGCTGGCAGCAGAGCTGCCGATGTGCGAAGCAGAATGGAATCCGGCTTGGCTGTCCCTTGCTGTGTGGGCTCAGCAAGGCTCACAGAATACATACTTGTTTGTGTCTGGAAATTCAACAGCTGCAGCTCAGTACTCAGCAAACAGAGCTGCAGAGGGAGACCACACCATGGTCGGCCCTGGCCAGCCACAGCCAACCCTTCAGCACAAGAAGGAAAGATGACTGTATTTTCTCTGCTGAGAGGAAATTTTCTAGACATTGCTCCTGGAAACCAATACCAGTGCTTTCTCATTGGAGGCCCTAAGACCCTAATTCAGCAGGTAATTCAATCATTAACCTGGATACTCCTAGAAGCTGCCCAAAATATTCCAAAGATAGTGCATTAGCATCAAGTCTCCCACCACCAACCACAACAACTTTTCATCCTTAAGATAAGTAGATCCAAAATTAGAGATGGTAGCATACTTATGTAATCCCAGCACTCAAGAAGCTGAGGCTAGAGCCTCTTAAGTTCAATGCCAGCCTAGACTACTTAATGAGACCCTGTCACAAAATAAAAGATGAGTGAATCCTTGCCTGAGGTTTCTCTCTCAACCCTTTATTCCCAACTAGCTGACCCGAGACTGGGAATTTGGGGAGGGAATTCCCCAAGTGAGAAGGAGTATGCCCCTGTCAGCAATCCACACCCCTAGTTCTATCTTCATTCAAATCTTTAGCCACCTCAAAGTCATTCAAAATGAGAAAACAAAAAGCAGAAGAGGTGGGAAACAGCTCTCCTGTGATTGCGAAAGATAAACTGGAGTTTGCTGTCCTTTGGTGGCCTACAGCAGGAGGACAACATACCTTTATGAGGGAATCTCTGTGCATGAAACATAAAAGAGAAGAAGTCAGCTGAAGACAGTGACATTTTTGCTGGGTCATTGTGGGCCATCATTAAAGGGACAGACTATGGTCTTATCTGCTCTGCATAGGAAAATAGTGTATAGCTGTGTGGTTGAACTCATAGCTAGCATGAGTGAAATCCTGGCTTTTGATCCCCAGTACAGGGAAAAAAAGAGGGGGGAGGGAGAAAGGCAGGCTGGATAAGACAGAGAGATAATATTCTAGACAATATCAACTAACACAACAAGGGAGCAAACAGTTGGATTTCTCCATAACCTGGGAGTGAGCTGTTTCCCAGACTTTCTCAGAAGGGTTAGGACCCTTTCCAGGCACCTCTCTGTTTTTCAGACCTACAGAAACAAGAACAGCTTTGTCAGACTTAGCAAGGTAGATGTGCCCCACTGTAACCTGTGACATGTTTCCCTGGTTTGTTCTTCAAATGGAAGACTCTCTGACATTACACTAAAGAAGTAGTCATCCTTGCTTAACATTACCAACCAACCCAGAAACCACATAGAAGACAGAAAGTAGTTCCTCTTGGAAAACTATTGGGGAGAGAGAGAAAATGCCAATCTGGCAACACATTCTGAAACACCAAGCTAAGGCAGAGAGGGAGAAAGACACCTGCCCCGCTTGGAACATTTCTCTTCCAGACTTGGGCTCAATGAGAAGAGATCAGAACATCGCACTGTTCCCTGACAGGTGATGTCCATTTGCCCAGGCAAAGAGGAAAGTAAAGAAGTCTTCCCTAGACCCCACTGTTCCTTACTCCAAACATCTTCTAAGTCTCAGGAGCACTGACAGAGTTGTCCTCAGCCAAACACAACTTCCTGTTTCTAAGAAAGGGAAGGGAAAGAAATAGTTGAAAGGATATTTGGACACTAGAGATTTGGAGTTTCTGTAAACGCAAGTGAATCAGACACATGTGGAATAAATTTCTCCGGAAATAAGAAAAGATGCTGTGAGTTCCTCTTGCTGGACCAGAAAAAAGGAGAAAGGGGAGTTGGGAAAGGAGGTATGTCAGATGCTGAAAGGAGCGAGAAAACCCATGTGAGTGTCAGATCAAAGAGGTGGTCCCAGTGATGACAAGGGTCAGCGATGCCCCTCCCAAGACCACTTCCTGATTTATGGATTACTCAGAGCTTCTCCACCTCTGAAGTCATAAATCCAAATATCCTGCTGCCTGACCACAACTTAGCATCTTTCCAGATCTTTCACTAGTCCCACCACACATCCTACATCCTTCATCCTCAGGGTTCCCATGTCCTTGGTCACCCTCATTTATGTACTTTCTTCATCTGCCTTTACTTCTCATATGATGCTGCATCTTTTCCTGGGTCATTTAAACTCCATGTTCGAGCACCTCAAGGACTTTGAACAACTTCCCCAATTGACTTTCTTCTTCCTAATACCTTGGGCCCAGATTGGTGGATCCAGCGCCCCCCCCCCTGAAGTTGCCAATGTCCCTTACCTACATTCTTCTAATATGCAAGAGGCTATTCACTTTGGAGACCTGCCATAGATACATGTGAAACCCAGGATGAGATTTATACCTACCCCAGATCAACAAGGACCAATAAGAGCATACATGATCTGACTGGAGCCCTAATGCTTTCCAAGGCACAGGTTCCTCTCTCTGGGTACCTGCTTTATTGACTTTCTGTTTTCCTCCACAGCAGAGACTCTCTGGACTTACCCAGCTCTCTTCTCACTTTCACTATAAAGCTAAGCAAAATTCACACAACTGGGGAAATTACACTATGAAGCACTGATGTGCCACTATAAAACTATGGGGTCCACTGCAAACTGTCCAGCCACCCAAGCACACAGCTCTAGCTGTAGGTCTTCAAAGAAATAATTTTGTGCTTTTTCCACTCAAGTTCATGATACTGCCATGTTTCACTGTGGTAAGAAGCATTAGACTCTACTATCCAGTAGAACCCAGCAGTGCATCTCTTTTCACAGTAGGCAGGGAAGGAACAGCCACTGTCACTAGAACTAGCAGGGT